CATGTGTTTTTTTCATGTGTTCGTGGTTATCGCTTCTGAGTTCCTGGCGACACCTTGAGGTTGTTGAAGGATTTCGTCTTGCGTGCGTGCACTTTGTTTCATTTGTTGTGCGGGAGTCTTGAACACTGATGATTGTTGATCAACTGAGGACGAGGCGGGGGATTGTTTGCAGCCTGACTGGGATGACATGAGATCATATTTCGGATGGGCGATGGGGCAGAATCATCAGCAATTCTCAATGCGAACAGGTAACCCGTTGATCTGCGCGCGCGAGAGGCTCGTTTGGTAGCATGTTGCAAACATGTTGAAAAACTTACGGCTTCCTCTTTCGGAAATCCTTGATGGGAAACCTTTTTTTGATTAAACAATGGTTTCGGTGCGTGTGCGTGCACCGGCCTGCCTGAGATGGCGCGGTCCCTATTCGGGATGGACGATGGGGCAGAATCAGAGGTGCATTGCAGCGCGAATGCTGGGGCCCTTCGTTCCGGGGGGGGCGGGGGGGGGGGGGCCTGAATCTCTGTAGAAAGGAGAGCGAACGTTGGTAATCTACGTTGCGCCGTATATGCGGCGCATCTGTGTGGTGCCGTTCGCCGGTGCTCGCGTTGAATAGTTTTCAGCTCCGCTGCTCGCGCGATCATCGCACCCGCCCGCCCGCTATTCGGTTTTCAAAACCCACTCGGCGGCGATTGGGATGTCTGCTGGGCGCTAACGACGCGTCGCCGCGGCCGCGCTAGCGCGTGCAGTCTCGCGCGCAGAGCGGCCAGCTCGCCCGGCGCGACCGACGCCGCCGCGGCGGCGCTGACCGCTGGGCATTTCCTTGCGCGCGTCGCACGCAGCGCTGACGCGCGGGCACTCCAGCGCGCAGCTGCGGCTCGGGCGGGCGCGGTCTAATGGCGACGTTGGCAACGGCGGGCGCGATGGCGCCGTCGCGTCGCCGATGAACGGCGCGACGTGAATTTCGACGCGCGCGCGTCCGACGTGTGCGAGTGGCCCGCGTGGCATTATTGGATCGGGGCCGCGCCGCCCCCCCCCCCCTCCCTTCCCCGGCGCGCGCGCAGGGGCGTTCGAAGTTTCCGGCAGGCTCGCGCGGGGGGCCCGTTGGTCGCCTGTGATGGGCGCGTTCTTAAGGATTCGCAGCAGCTCGATCGCGGGCTCTCCTGACCATTCCCGTTGCGGAACCATTCGTTTTTGGTTGCAGTCTCAGTGTTCTCGGGGCGCTCGATGTCGAACTCTCCGCGAAGCCCCGCGGTTGTTCGACGGATGTCGGCACGCGTGCGCGACGAGGCTCCCGCGCGCACTTCGCTCCGTTTCTGGCGCGGTTCTTTTCGGCGGCACCGCGCGCGATTCCGACGCGCCCGGGAGACGCGCGCCTGGTTGACTTCGATGATCGCGCTGCAACATCCAAGTTTTTGGTGTAAGAAATCACAGATGCGCGATCGCTGCCTCTATGTCAAACTCTTGCCGCGATTGTTTAGTTTTTATGTGTCCGGGGAGCTTGATATTGACGTCTTGCGAGACCCGCGGCGTCCGAGTGCTTCTGGCACGCGCGCGCGACGACGCGCGCGCGTGCACCTCGTTAGGTGTTTTGTGGGGGATTCTCGGCGCCTGGCGGTTTTTGGCCAAGGAGTGCGCGCGTGTTTTGTCTTTGTTCTTCTGCGAGGGGTGGGCGGCGGGGCGCCGGACTGCCGGCGCATCTGCGGCCGCGCTCCTCCGCGCGTGCTCGCGCGCGAAGCGGCCGGCTAGTTTGGCGCGACCGACGCGGCCGCGGTGGCGCAGACCCCTGGGTTGCCTCCCAGTGGGCGCTGCAGTGCTAGTCAGCGACTCGGGCGGGCGCGGTGCCATGGCGACGTCGACGGCGGTGGGCGCGGCGATGGCAGCGGCGACGCTGGCGGCGGCGATGGCCGCGACGACGGCAAGGCCAGTGGCGGCGTCGAGGTTGATCGCGCCGACGATGACGCAGGCGCCCTCGCGTCGGCGATGGAGGTTCTGGAAGGAGTTCGACGCGCGCGCGGGCGACGCGCGAGTGTGGCCCGCGTGGCATTCTTGGACGCGGATCGAGCCCCCCTCCCCCGCCTTCTCCAGCGCGCGCGGGGGCCTTCGAATGTTCTCGGCGCGCGGCGCGAGAGGCCCGTTTGGCAGATTCATCAGAACTTGGTAGCATTTTACAATTTGGAAAAGATGCGGGAGCGCGAGCGCAGGCATTTCTGCAAACTGGCGTTGCATAGCCGTTTGTTTTTGCATGTTTTCGGGGCGCTGGATTTTTGCATCTTTGCGACGCCTAGTGTTGTTGCAGGATGTCCCCGTGCGCGCGCGACGACGCGCGCACGCTTCTTCCTTATGCGTTTGCGTCTTCCTTTTTTGTCTGCTCGCGGGAGATTCGCGTGAAAGCGCGCGCGCAAGGGCGTTCCAGCGATGTCGGCGCGCGCACGAGGGGCGCGTTTGGTTACGTCCGCTGCAAATTTTGACCAGTCCACGGTTTTTAATATGGAAATCGGCAAGAGCGCGAGCGCATTTTTTTGCGGGTTGCCAAAGCCCGCGTTTTCAATGCGCGTTCTGGGGGCGATTTTGAACCCCTCGCGGGGCCCTAGGCTTCTGAAGGATTCCGGCATGCTCGCGCGACGATGCGCGCGCGTGCTTTTCGCGTGTGTTGGCGAGGGTAATTGGAAACTTTTGATTTCTGACAAACGCGGGCGCGCTCAGAGTATCTTTTGCAAGGGCTGAGGGGGTGGCTAGGGGGGGGGGGGGGGGCGATGTCGGCCTGCCTGGGATGATGCGAATTTGCATTTAGCATGGGCGATGGTGCTGAATTATTTGCCATGTGCAACGCGCGAAGGGTGGCCGCTTGGTTCGGGGAGGGGTGGTGGTGGTGGTGGTGGTGGTGGTGGTGGTGGTGGTGGTGGTGGTGGTGGTTGTGGTGGTGGTGGTGGTGGTGGTGGTGTGGGGGGGGGTCCTAATGCTATGATAGACAGGAGAATTTACCCTGCCGAATTCGAAGTTGCCCACCCGCTGCTCGCGCAATCATCCCGCCCGCCCACCCGCTACTTGGTTTGCAAAACCCATGCGGCGGCGACTGCGAAGGGTGCTCGGCGCTGGCTGGCGCGTCGCCGCGGCCGCGCTAGCGCAGGTGCTCGCGCGCGAAGTGGCCGGCTAGTTTGGCGCGACCGACGCGGCCCTGGTGGCGCTGACCGCAGGGCGCTTCCCAGTGGGTGCCTCAGTGCGAGTCGGCGACTTGGGCGGGCGGTGTTTCGTGGCAGCGTCGGCAACGGTAGACGCGATTACGGTCGTGGCGATTCTGGTGGCGATGATGACAACGACAATGTTGATGGCGCCGATGTTGATCGCGCAGGCGACGATGACGGCGCGCTCGCGTCGGTGATGAAGGTTTTGAGAGGAGTTCGATACGCGCGCGCGGCCGACCCGCGAGAGTGGACTGAGCGGTATGTTTCGACGCGGATCGCGCCCCCCCGCCCCCAGCATGCGCGCAAAGATGCGCGATTGATTTCGGCGCGCGGCTTGAGAGGCCCGTTTGGTAGCATTCAGGAAACATGTATTTATATGTTAAGAATTTGCAGGTGCGCGAGCGCGGGCACTCTTGATAACTGACGTTGCAATAGTATATGTTTCAAATGTTTCTCCGGGGTGCTCGAATTTGACAGCCTTGCGACAACTACGTTTTTTATTTGGATTTCCGCATGCATGCGAGACGACGCGCGCGCGCCCTTCGCCCCCTTTGTTGCAATCTATTCGTGCGACAACACGCGCGAAAGGGCGTCCAGGTCATTGCGACATGCTCGCGCGAGAGGCACGTTTCGCAGCATTTGATGCACATGTTAAACAACCGGTGGGTGTGTTGAGAATTTGCGAGAACGCGAGCGCTGCCCTTCCCCCACTATGTCCGGGGCGCTCGCTCTGCGAATCCTTACGCAATCTAGGTTTTTGAACGATTTCGGCAGGCGCGCACGACGACGCGCGCGTGTGCATTCAGTTTTTTTGTGTTTCCTCTTTTCTTCTTCATCCCAAGGGTTTTGGTCACGGATGATTTTTGATAAATCGTGTGGCGTTTTTTTCCCAGGGGATGAAAAGGGGGGATTGCCAGCTTGCCTGGGATGGTACGAACTCATATTTAGGATGGGCGATGGGGCAGGAGCCTATCTAAATTGCAATGCGCGACGGGGGTCGTTCAGTTTGTTTTTTGGGGTAGAGTCTATTCTCTTTTTTTTAGAAAAGGAGCCATCACCCTGCCGAGCTGGAGGTTGTCAGCCCAGTGGTTCGTGCAATCATCCTGCCCACCAGCCCGCCCCTTGGCTCGCAAAGCCCAAGCGGCGGCGATTGCCATGACTGCGAGGCTCTGGCTGGCACGTCGCCGCGGGCGCGCTGGCACGCGCGGGCCTGCGCGCAGAGCGGCCGAAGAGTCTGGCGCGACCGGCGCGGCCGCGGTGGCGTTGACCGCCGGACATCTCCCAGCGCGTCTCGCAGGCCACGCTGACGCTCGGGCCTTTCGGTGTGGGTCGACGAGTCGGTTTGGGGCGGTCTCGTGGCGACGTCGGCAACGGCAAACAGGATGATGAGAATGATGATAGTAGCGATGCCGGTGGCGATGATGACGATTACGGCAGCAGGGGAAATGACGGCGCCGATGCTGATCACGCCCGCCGATGACGATGATGGTGTCCACGCGTCGGCGATAAAAGGTCTTGAAATCATTTCGTCATGCGCTCGCGGCCGACGCGCGCGAGTGGCCCGCGTGGTCTTACATGACAGGGCGCGCCGATTCCCCGCAACGACTCCACATCTCTTCACAACGTCGACTCCCAGAGGTCGCGACCCATTCTTTGGCAGTGGTTTTCCATTTTAGGCCCGTTTTCTGAGGGTCCCCCCAGCGAGGGCCCCCGGAGGCCGAAACTCGGAGAACACGGCCCGTCCGTCGTGTTCTTCCCACGACGCCAGCGGGTCTGGGACCGGAAGGGGCACAGCTCCCCCAGTGGTGGCCGGTCGGGCAGGGCGCAGATATGCGGCGCCCAGAGGCGCGCCGGCCTCTTGTCAGCCGCCCCCTCGCTCAGCGCACCACGGCGGGCCGCCGCGGCGGAGGAGCCGCAGGGCGGGGAGGGCCTGGCGGCGCACAGAAGCGGGGTTGGGGGTGGCGCGAGCTGGAGAGGAAGCAACATGGCGTCCAACCGTGGTGGGTTTCCAGATTCGTCCGTACGCTTTCTTGGCGGGCCTGCCCCGCGGCGGAGGAGGAGGAGGAGGAGGAGGAGGGAGGAGAGGAGGAGGAGGAGGAGGAGGAGGAGGAGGAGGAGGAGGAGGAGGAGAGGAGGAGGAGGAGGAGGAGGAGGAGGAGGAGGAGGAGGAGGAGGAGGAAGGAGGAGGAGGAGGAGGAGGATGGAGGAGGGGAGAAGAGAGAGAGGGAGAGGAGCAGGAGAGGGTAGGATGAGGAAAGAAGGAGTGGAGAGAGGAACTGCTGCTGAAGCGGAGCGGGAGAGAGGAGCAAGAGTTGGCTTAGGCAGGCCACCGCGGCTATGGGCAACAGTTGCATTCGGAGGTCCACGCGGATCTCTTGGATCGGCGTTAGGCCCCCTGGGGGCACTGGGGGCGCCTCTGGCGCTGACGTTGGCGCGCTCCGCACGTTAGGGAAGCGGGGTCCAGCACTGGTTCAAGAAGTCCCGGCAAACGTCCGACAGTTGTGTTTATACATGTTGTTAATTTTCTAGCGAGTCCCACGAAGGGACCCATACCTTCACTGTCTTGAACACGTCAGTGCGCAGTTCCCGCCGCTTTCGACCTCCTTGGGGGCCCTTTCAGGCCACCAGGGCCGCGAACGAACGCATTCGGTATCCAAGGCCAACCCTTGGGAAGGGGCCAGAAATTCAGGAGACCCCGTGCGTCGGGGCTCAAGAGACGGGGTTAATGCAAACGTGGTCCAGAGCTCTGGAATTTGCAGTATCCTGCAGAGCCAGAGGTGCATTGACCCGGGTTGCGGTGCAGGATCTTGCAGGACCTTGCAGGATCCTGCGGAGCCAGGGGTGCATTGACCTGGGTCTGGATCGACCTGGGTCAGAAGATCCCCAGGTGTGGACCAGAATCGAGACGTAGGATGTATGGGGTAGGGGGTGTCGCGAGTCGCTGGAAAGGCAGAGATCCTGGAGGTCGTTAGCAGCTCTCAGACCCCGTGGGCCTTCCCTGCGACGGGACCCTGAGTACCGAGTCGGGATGAAACGCCAGCCCCCGGAGAAAGCCCCCAGGGTCGAGGACCCGTTTCCCTGAGAGCCCCTTTCTGCCAGGCGAGGGAGGCAGTTCTCTGCGAAGAGGCTGGGGCGCTCCTCAGGAGCCCGCCTGTAAGGAGCCCTCGGAGCCCCCCTGCGAAGCACCTGGCCCTCTGAGAGGGCCGGCCCCCGCCGCCCCGCCACCCTGGTGTGCACCGCCACGAGGAGGAGGAGGAGGAGGGGGAGGGGGAGGGGGAGGAGGAGGAGGAGGAGGAGGAGGAGGAGAGAGGAGGAGGAGGGAGGAGGAGGAGGAGGAGGCGGAGGAGGAGGAGGAGGAGGAGGAGGAGGAGGAGGAGGAGGAGGACGAGGAGGAGGCTGGCCGGGCCCGCCACGAGGAGGAGGAGGAGGAGGAGAGCATTGACGTGCTGCACCGCCAGACAATGGCGGTGGACTGGCGCGAGACCCTGGGGCTGGCGCCGAGGGCCACGACGCTGGGGAGCGGCGGGCTCCGGGTCGCCACCCTGGCGAGCCTGGCGAGCCTGGCAGGCGGCCTGGAGAGGGTGGCGAGTGCCATGCACCTGCCCTATCTCGAGACCAGGGCAAAGCGTGTCTTCAAGGCCCTCCTCTTCACGCCCGTGCTCCTCGCGGAGTGGCTGACCATACTGGCGTTCTTCTGCGTGCTGGTGTGGTTCGAGGTGTGGGTGATCTTCAAGTGGGGCGGCTGCGAGAAGGTCAACGAGGGGAAGCCACCAGAGGAGTGGCTCTGCATGTCGGCCGACCAGGAGCGCGGGTATGTGGGCCTTGCCTTTGGTGCTCTGCCCTCCATCCTGGAGGGCATAGGTTTCGAGCTGCTCATGCAGGTGTCCAAGTGGACCGCCTACATGGTGACCAGCTTCTACAGCTTCGACTCGCGCGAGCAGAGAGATCTTGCGCGGGTCATGGTGGTGTTCTTCCTGGAGGTGGTCGGGAAAGTGGGGTTCGTCTGCACGCTTGGGTTAGCCTTCGTGCCGTGGTGGTACGACCAGAGCAACCTCTTGTGCACTGAAAACTGGGACTACGCCCTGTTCGGCGAATGGTCCCTGAGCTGCCTGAAGGCCCAGGTTCCCCCGGTCGTGCGGATGAAGCTCTTTGAGTCGTGCATGAAGGGCCCGATGCTGGTCTCCGGCCTGGTGAGCATAGGCATAAAGACGCTGCTGCCGCTGCTCCTGGCGCTGTGGCGGCGGTGCCGCACGGGCGGGGATCTGTTTGCCGGCTGCCTTGTGTGCCAGCGTCGGCAGACGACGGTGGGGAAGTGCCTCGTTGCGCCCTTTGATTTTGTCCTGCGCGCGTGCATTCTGATCGGATGGGCCTGTTCTCCCACCACCACCACCATAAGTTGGAGGGGGAGGGGGTCCTCCACCTCCTCCTCCTCCTCCTCCTCCTCCTCCTGCTCCTCCTCCTCCTCCTCCTCTTCGTCCTCCTCCTCATGGTCCTCCTCCTCCTCCTCCTCCTCCTCCTCCTTCCCCCCACCAACTTATGGTGGTGGTGGTGGAAAACCGGCCCATCGTGATCTTCCAGGCGGATTTTGGTGCCGTCGGGGGGCTTCGCCTCCTGCTGTGGTGGCCGCCGGCTCTCAGTGCGCCCCGCACGCGCGAGGTGCCCCTCCGAGTGCGGCGCCGGCTCTGGCACGTGCTGCTCGAGGGGCAGCGCAGGAAGCACGACCCCTTTGACGAGAGCATCGAGATACTGATGCACTTCCTGTGGACGTCCTGCTTCGCGATTGTCTGGCCGTTCGGGACCATCTTCACGCTGATGAACCAGCTGCTGGAGCTGCGCTTCGACGCCCTGAAGATGCTCCACGTGCGCGGCCGCCGCTTCCCGAACTCCCACCAGATGTGCGACGTGTGGGTTCCCCTCTGCTCGCAGATAATCTGCTATGTAAGCATCGCGGTCAACATCGTGCTCGCCCTGATCCCATACCGGCAGTACCAGATGTGGATATACGATGCCGATGCAGCCAGAGACACGATGGAGCCATTCCTCGTGCAGGTCGGCCACGCGCAAGCTTGACCCTTCCTTGGAGCGACGCCCCGAAGCGGGCCCACAGGGGGTCCCCCCAGCGCTGGCCTGCGCGCTTGGGTTAGGTCGGGCATGTCCCTCCACAGGAGGAATTTTCAAACATAGTCCCAAAATAATCTGGGGAGGATTTTTGATTTTTTCGAATCTTTTTCGAATGCTGTGTGACTATTTTGAGTCTTCGCTCAAACTCCGCCTGTAGGGGGACACGCCCGACCTAACGCTTGGGTTTGCTCCCCACCCCGCGGCCTCCCTGTGAACCACGCGCCAAGGGTCGCTCTCTATCCCGGGGTCACTCCTGCTCCCTGCGCGCCAGTCGTCGGCAGCAGGTTTTTGTTTGGGTCCTCGGATTCCAATCTACTTTCGTCGCCGTCCCGCTTCTATGGTTCGGTCGGGCATGTCCCCCTCCTGGCCGATCTTGGGCGAAAGATTCAAAGTAGTCAGACATATCCAAACATACTCGGAAAATCGTCCCCAGACTTTTCTTGTTTGGACTAGTTTTGAATAGTCCTCCTGTAGAGAGACATGCCCGACTCAATTCTGTGGTCCACCGGGTGGCCCTTTTCCTTCGTCGTGGGGTGCCGCTTCCCTCTCCCCTCCTCTTTCGGGGGGCGGGCGTGCTTGAGCCCACTCCACCTCCAGCGCCCTCCCGCTTCATGTCTCTGCCCACTTCTTCCGACCGACGGGTAGCCTGAAGTCGGGCACTTTTCTCTACAGGAGGAATATCCAAAAAATAGGCAAAAGAAACTCTGGGGACGCTTATTCGATTCTTCCTTGACTGTGTGTGAATATGTGCTGTGGGATTGTGTTTTCACTCTTCGCCCAAAGTCCGCCCATGCCCGACCTGAGGGCAGCCGAGCAGGGTCCGCTGCGGGGATTCATCCACGACCGCCGCTTGGGGCTTCGATCTTCGCGGACCTCCACAGGCGGTGTATATATATATATATATATATGTATGTATGCGGCCCCTTGGGGGTATCCGTATCCACCGCCCGCTGGAGCACTATATAGGACGTCGGTTCCCAGGCGGTGGATGTGGATAGATCCCCGCCTCGCGTTATGATGTTCTTCCAACCTACTTCAGCCTTGACCGCCAGAAAGAATGTCGAGCACCAAACAAGAACCGAAACTCGAGGGTTTTCACGTGTCGGGCCCCGGGAGACACTCGTCCGACACTGTCTCGACACTCTTTCGACGCCTTTCTGGATGCTCGAAACTTGTTTCTGGAACGGGGTCCTCGAGTACGATGGGAGCCACAAGAGCCTCGCGCAGGGGACCTGGCAGAAGCTCCTGACCGCCTTCGCCGTGCTGTCGCTCCTCTTCGCCGCCGTGCGCCTCGCTGCCGTGGCGGCGGCCCGCTGCTGCCTCTCCTCGGCGGCCCCGCCCCGCGACGACGGCTCCCCGGCGCTCGCGCCGGAGGCCTCCGGCCCTCCGGGGGCCGCGCCCGCCGCCGAGGGGGGGCCCGCCTGCGCGGGCCACGCGGGCGTGGCGGCGGTCCGCCGAGGAGGAAGGCCCAGACACGATCGCGCGCCGCTGACAGCTCAGGACGGGAGGTGTTTACGGCCACGTTCGGCCCCGGGGGGGCCCCCGCTGGGCCTCGGGGCCAGCCACGCAACACGACTCGGGGCGAAAAGCCGGTCCCGGGGAGGGGGTCGGGACTTCCAGGGGCGCCGTCCTGACAGGAAGCCAGGGCGTCGCATGTCTGGGAAAGGTGCCCACACCGCTGCCCTGCGCCCGTGTTCCCCTCTCTCGCCCCCCCCCCAGGGGAGGTTCTCGTCGCCGCCGTTGGATTCGCCTCCAGGTCCTGGTCCGAACGCACCCCAAGGGAGAGGTCCGGGGAGGAGCGGCATCGGCACCTCCTTGACGTCCCCAGGTCTGAGCGCTGTCCTCTCTGTGCAGAGCGCCGGCGGCCGCCGTTCTCCCCGCCAGCACTCCTATAGACCGCCGGCGGCTGGACGTAGGAGGGGCCCTTCGCCGGAGGGGCCTCGGGTGCGGGCTCGTCTCGGAGCCCCCCCCCGGTCGCGGAGCGCGGTGTGTTTCAGCAGCGTGCATGCTCTGCGCGCTCGGGCTTGGCCGCCCCCGCGTCCCCCGTGGAGCCGCGCACCAAGGGTCACTACTCTTGCCCGGGGTCGCTTTGGCGTGCCGCCGATTCCTGCGCCCTCGCTTCCGAGACTCGCTCCCCCGTGCCCCCATCTGTGGCCCTCGGGCCCAGCTAAGTAGTACCGCCTGCCCAAGCGGTCTCTGAGAAACGCCGTCGACCAGCCAGGACCATCTGTCTGCGACTGTGCCGGCGGCAAAACATGGAATTGATATAAGCTCGATCGTGTGGCTGCCATGCTTGGTTCAGCCCTCGATGCGTGCGCTCTGGTTCGCCGCTTTCGGAACGACACTTGCTGTGTCCGTTGTTCGTGTCTTCTGTGCAGACCGCCACTGGTTCAAGCTTCGCGTATGATTCTTTGATGCGCACATGCATGGTTTACTACACCTGCCCGGTTAATGGAAATCAGGCGTGAGTAAACATAATACAGCAGATGCGTGGGTCAAAACACCCAGGCACGGCTTGAACAGGCAGCTGCATTGCCCAATGTACTTGGACAGCACATGCCTGTCCTACCATCATGCTTCTGCGAACAATTAGTGTTCGGCTGGAGAAGTACAGCTTGGCATACGGCACACGCACGGGCGCAGCTCGCAACAATCTAGCACCGAGCGCGCCGCGCCATGCTAATTTCGTGATCAGTGCTCCTCCTGCTCTCCCTGCTTTTCTCGCTCCCGCAGTCCTCCTCCCTCCGTCCTCCTCCCCCTGCCTGCTCCTCCTCTTCCTCCTCCTCCCTCCGGAGCGAGTGTAAGCCCACTCTCCGAAGAGGCGTCCGTCCGAAGCCCTTCTGGGACTGTCTCACAGTGGCTCCGCATGCGGATCACCCGCGCAGTCCGAGTCCGGCCGACTTCGGTGGCCACGCGGCGTTTGCCGCCTCACACCGCCTGGCTGCGGTCGTGTCCGCCGCGCCGCCCGCCGAGCCACGCCCCCGTACTCCAGCCACCCGGGCGAGCGTCGCGCGGCGGCGCCTTCGTGACCCGCCGAGCCACGCCCCCGTACTCCAGCCACCCGGGCGAGCGTCGCGCGGCGGCGCCGTCTTGACCCGCCGAACCACGCCCCCGTACTCCAGCCACCCGGGCGAGCGTCGCGCGGCGGCGCCGTCGTGACCCGCCGAACCACGCCCCCGTACTCCAGCCACCCGGGCGAGCGTCGCGCGGCGGCGCCGTCGTGACCCGCCGAACCACGCCCCCGTACTCCAGCCACCCGGGCGAGCGTCGCGCGGCGGCGCCGTCGTGACCCGCCGAACCACGCCCCCGTACTCCAGCCACCCGGGCGAGCGTCGCGCGGCGGCGCCGTCGTGACCCGCCGAACCACGCCCCCGTACTCCAGCCACCCGGGCGAGCGTCGCGCGGCGGCGCCGTCGTGACCCGCCGAACCACGCCCCCGTATTCCAGCCACCCGGGCAAGCGTCGCGCGGCGGCGCCTTCGTGACCTCCGCAGGGCGGCAGCAGTCGGTGCCTCGTCTCTCGGGCGCTGCAGCGGGGACTCGCCTTGCCCCTGGCCTTGGCAGGCGAGGGGCCGCGCGCCTCGGGGCGCGGCCTCCGCGTCTGTGCACCAGTGGGCCTGCGACCGCGGCCGCCGCGCCGCGCGGTGCCCGCCCGGCGGCGTGCGCCCTGGGCGCAGGGCGGGCGCCTGCTCTCGGCGCGTGCCGCCCGCCTCCAGTGGTGCCGCGGAGGCCTCCCCAGAGCTCCGCCGGGAGCTCTTTGGGGGAGAGGCCGGCCTGCAGAGGCGGGGTGCTCCAGCCCGCGTCGGCCTGGAGCACCGGAGAGAGTGTCGGGCACCAGGGAAGTATACCGAGGCTGGAGGGTCTTTCACGCGTCGGGCTCTGGGAGGCGCTGCTCGTTCGACGCGCTGTTTCGATGCGTTCCTGGGTGTGCGCAGGCTCGGTTCTGGGGTGTGGTCCTCAAGTGCTGCGGGAGCAACACGATGCCAGAGGTCTCCAGAGGCTCAGGCAACGCCGAGGTCATGGAAGTGCTGTGGAGCTTCGAGCCTTACCACTGGGGTCCCTCGATCGCCGAAAGCGATGCGGTGGCAGCGTTTGGCGCGCGGGTGTTCCGCCCCCCCGCGGCCTTCAAAAAGCTGCGCACCAAAGGCCACTCTTGGCCAGGGCTACTTTCTCCTATGCCTCCTAGATGGGGTCCGAGTAGATGGGGTCGGAGGATCGCGCCGCATCGCCGATGCATCGGCGATGCGGCTCGATGCGGAGCCCGATCTTCGCCGTGCCGGTGGCGCCGATGCATCGCCGAGCCGGTGGCGCCGATGCACCGCTGACGTCGACGATTCACTGCCGCGGTGCATCGCCGATGCGCCGCCGAGGCACCGGCGAGGCAGCGGCGCTGCGGCGCCATCTGCGGGCTGCAGCTGCTCCCCCTCCAGGAGGCCTCTCTTCTCGCAGTGGCCGCCGGCGACGCGGCGGCCGAGGGGCAGGCTGCCCCCCCCCCCCCGTGCGCGTGGTGCCTGGAGCTGCCCTCCCGGTGCCGCGGGCGCCCGTCGGGGCGCGGGGCGCCTCGCTCCGAGCGCCGCGGCTCCGAGCGCCACGGGGCGCGCCACGGATTCGGGGCTCGCCTGCCTCCCTCCTCCCTGCCCCTTCTTCCCCCCCCTTCTCCAGACAGTTGCTCGGATCTTCCTCTCCATGCTCCTGCTGCTGCTCCTGTTCCTCCTCCCTCCTCCCTCTGGCGCTCCTCTTCCCTGCCCCCCATGCTGCGCAAGCGTTGCTGTTCGACTGGCCAGTGTGCCCGATGACCCGCTTTGCAGAAGAGCGGCTGGCCAGAACGCACATGGACGGACGGCACTTGAGCGACGGAATTCGCATGTTTTTTATTCGCCGCAGGTACGCTCAGCGTGACCTTTTTCTCCAGTGTCCCTCGCAGTGGCGGCGTAGCTGTTCGGCACCTGTCTGTGCGACGGACTCCTCTCGCTCGACCCATTCCCCTGTCTCTACCTCCCCTCCCTCCCTCCCCTTGCACTTGCGTTGCAACTTCTGGGGGGCCTCGTCTGTCCTGAACGTATGTGGCCGTCCTTTTCCGAGCGTCCGGCGTCGGCTCGACACGGGTTTGGCGTGGATGCGACGCGAGTTTGTGGATTCTATGTGGATTCGAGGCGGACTCAACGTGATGAGAAATGGGATGGGACAGACGATGTCTCCCGAAGATGCAACATCGCTTCCGAATCGCTTCCCCCCCTCTTCCTGCCACCTCATCTCATGCACAGGGCTGGTTTCCCTAGCGATGCCTGGGCACAGCTCGGCAACGCGCCCTACCCAGAGAGGTCAGACGTTATGTTCGGCCCGTCTAATCTAGGTGGGGGCGGCAGCGGAATTATAAACAACATCCGTTCTCCTAGTTCTTCGTGATCCTGTCGGCCTTCCTCCTTTCGGGTGTCCCTGGCCCAAGGTTCAGGAAGACAGTTGTCGGGTTGGGAAGATGGGGTCGGGAGAAATGATCACGTCATCAGTCTTACCGCGTGAGTCGAAGGTGCTTATCACAGCATGGTGCCCCGTATCTTCCCAGCAACGTCCTCCCAACCCGATCGTCGTCTTTCTCAAAGATGTCCCAGGCGTTTCGCGCAATTTTGGAGCTCCCTGGGGCCCCCTGGCGCCTCGTGAGGAGTGCTCTGGATGCCATGTGGGCCTACCTCAAGAAAGGCTGGGGCCACCTCTGGCCCAAGGTTCAGGAAGCACAGTTGTCGGGTTGGGAAGATGGGGTCGGGAGAAATGATCACGTCATCAGTCTTACCGCGTGAGTCGAAGGTGCTTATCACAGCATGGTGCCCCGTATCTTCCCAGCAACGTCCTCCCAACCCGATCGTCGTCTTTCTCAAAGATGTCCCAGGCGTTTCGCGCAATTTTGGAGCTCCCTGGGGCCCCCTGGCGCCTCGTGAGGAGTGCTCTGGATGCCATGTGGGCCTACCTCAAGAAAGGCTGGGGCCACCTCTGGCCAGAGGGCCGCCATCCGGCAGCACCCGACGTTTTGCGCCCAGGGGGGACGGCGACAAATATTCCGCATGTTTTTTTGTTTCCCTTGGAGACCTCGCCGTCTCTTCTTCCTCCCCCTCCTCCTCCTCCTCGTCCTCCTCCTCCTCCTCTCCTCCTCCTCCTCCTCCTCCTCCTCCTCCTCCCCTCCCCCTCCTCCTCCTCCTTCCTCCTCCTCCTCGTCCTCCTCCTCCTCCTCCTTCTCCTCTTCCTCCTCCTCCTCATCATCATCAGAATCATCATCACCACCCTCATCATCATCATCATCAATCATCATCATTCAGCATCATCATCATCATCATCATCATCATAATCATCATCATCATCATCATCATCACCAGCTTATCATCATCATCATCACCATCTCATCACCATCCACCATCACCAATCACCATCATCAATCACATATCAGCATCATCATCATCATCATCATCATCATCATCATCATCATCATCATCATCATCATCATCTCATCATCAATCATCAATCATCAGCATCATCATCACCATCCAAAGTCCTCCTCCTCCTCCTCCTGCTCCTCCTCCTCCTGCTCCTCCTCCTCCTACCTCCCTCCTGCTCCTCCTCCTCCTCCTCCTCCTCCTCCTCCCCTTTCTCCTCCTCCTCCTCCTCCTCCCCTCCTCCTCCTCCTCCCTCAACGTCCTCCGCCTCCTTCGCCTTCTCCTCTCTCCTCCTCCTCCTCCTCCTCCTCCTCCTCCTCCTCCTCCTCCTCCTCCTCCTCCTCCTCCTCCCGCCTCCTCCTCCTCCTCCTCCTCCTCCTCCTCCTCCTCCTCCTCCTCCTAGGCGGCCCGCT